ACTAAGGGAGTTTCTTTTAAGGGTGATGAAAATGTTCTAAAATTAGAATATGATGACAGCTGTCAGCTACAGCTGATCTAGTTGATGGAATATTACAAAGCCATTAAAAATAATTATAAAGGCTATATGTCATTACAGAAAAATATTTATGGTATAATGCTAAATGAAAAAAAAAAAAAATACAAAACTGAATGTACAGGGATTCCCAACTGAAAGAAAGCATAGAATAGATGGAAATGATATTTGTGGTAGGATGGTAGAATCATGGTGAGTTTTTTCTCCCCCTCTATTCTGCAAGCTTTCTGTAATCTTGTCCCCAATGTGTTAACAATTTAAAAAAAAAAAAAGCAGCCCCCCAGTCTTCCCTCAGACAGTTAGCCTAGGCTACCACTTAAAATGCAAAATAAGCAAAACCACCTTATTCTCTTTTTCAAGTTCCCTTTTTAAAACTTCCACCCACTTAGAGTGAGATCGACTGAGAAGAGCCCAAAGAAGGAAGAATGGGATAAACAGTCCTATCCCATTCCCAGAAGCCAGTTTCATTTTACTGGCTTTGTCAGAAGCCGAAGCCTAGTCTAGCCAAAAGTCTAGCAGAGGGAGTCTACACACAGGCCAACTTCATGCTCTGATCTTAAACTTCTGTGGGTGAAGGCAAGTCACTGCTGACAGCAGGCTGGATTTGGAAAGATGAAACTTTCCCCCTCCTTAAGAAAGGATGGTTTGGAAAGGGGAGGCTGGGAAAGAGCCCCTATTTATGCCTCTTCTCTGAGGTATAGATCTCCAACTACAGGAGAAAAGAATCCTGAGTCATTGAATTTTTCACCACAAAAGATCCTCTTCTGAGTAATAAAGAATTGTCAGTCACCACCTCTGCTGTCTGCAAACCCCTGAGAACCTATTACTGTCATCGGAACCCAGGCTAACTTTCCCCAAATCAAGCAATGGGGCTCTACGAAAAAAAAAAAAAAAGTCTTAACACTTGCACACATGTGTGGGAGGGGGGAGCACAGGGAGGGAAGAGTACATTTAAGGGCACACTGCTATCAGGTAATTTTAGGGATCTACTAACACTGGCAACAGTAACAGGGAACTAACTATGTCTGTTTCTGCTTGAGAAAACACTTCAATAATATCCTGTTTCTGGAATACTGCATAAATTCTTGGCATGCAGCCTTCAGATGTTTCAAGGGTGCTATTTTCCTTTTCTGAGACAGAAGGGCCCAGGAAGGAGAATACATCAGAGGCCACACGGGAGCCTGTGAAACCTGTCCAAGTCTCACTACACTTGGGGCATTTTCTGCTGTTACTATACCAGTACCTTCACAGAGACTCAAGTGTCCCCAAGCCCTGACAGAAGCCCAGGTGGCCTTTCACAGCCGAAGTGACCCAGCTCAGTACCACTAGAGGTCTACCAGCAGAGCGGAGACTTCCACACTCAGGGAAGAATCAGAAGATGAGAGAGTAAACAGAGGAACCCTGCTGGTTTCTAGGCCAAAGGACTAAAGGGAAAGAAAAAGGACACCATCACAGACACACATGAGCACAAAAAAAAAGGAAACATCCACAGGTGCCTGACAGGTTTTGCTGCTAAAACCTAAGCCTTTTAAGAGGTACCTCTTTCCCCAGTGCCTCTACTTTTTCAAATAAAGGTTTTACACAAAGACACTCACGAACTTATAAGCATCCAAGGGAACAATGGCTGTTGCCTTGAATCCCAGCCAGAGTGGGAGTGAACAGATCTTGATGCTCAAGGACAGTCACCCCCACGCTGTCCTGGAATTGCTTCACTGGTCTCAGATTCAGAGCTGCTGCAGCTTCAAATACTCACCACAAAACCCCCAGCCCCAAACCTCAAGCTGCATCCTTCATTCCCACCGATATGAAAATAGCTCTCCCACATTACAGGCATCATTTCTCACTGCTCTAGTTTCCAAGTCTCCTGCAATGTGGCAACATAACTTAAGAATATTAATTTTTTAAAAAACCATTCCACTAAATGAAATCTCACTATGGTGGGATATATGGGTGGCCCCTAGACGGAAGCCATCTTGAGCAGAAACCGAAAGTGTCTCTATTATCATATATGCATTTGTTCCAATGTTTACCCTTAACTCAACTGTCCTAATACTCAACACTCAGGTCTGCTTTCAAATATTAAAAAAATAAGGCACTGGGCTTCTTCCTCTATTTGTTCTTCCCCCCACTGCTTAAGGGAAGATCCCTAAACAAGACTTCCTTACTATCCAGAAAGATGGAAGACGGAAAATGAATCCTGCTTGTCAGCTTCAACTAGAAGACCACATGTCAATTCAGGAGCTCAGTAAAATGCTTCACATGGCAATTACACAACCACTACCATTGGACCTGCTGATATTCAGGCCTTCAAGTGGGCACTGCAAGTCTGTAAGTAGGCACTGTAGTCCTGCTGCGTCTCAGTGAACTGTCTCTTGGTACATGGGGAAGTAGAGGGGGAAAACAGCACATCTACTCTCTGGTCTTCCTTTTCTGCCCACAAGCAGCTCTAAGACTTCTCCACAGTTCACTTGTTTCAGCACAGAAATGAGGAAGCTTATGTGAATAATTTTTTTTAAAGATACTATAATTCTCTGAGCCTTCTTTTCTCTAGCTTACTTTATTGTAAGAATACAGCATATAATACATGCAACATACAAAGTAAGTTTTAATCAGCAGTTTATGTTATCACTAAGGCTTCCTGTCAACAGCAGGCTATTAGCAAAGTTTTGGGGGAGTCAAAAGTTATACATGGATTTTTGACTCCATCGGGGTCAGGACCCCTAACCTTGTGTTCTTTAAGAGTCAACTATAGTTACCTGGTTGTCACAACACCTAAGGATATGGGAAAAGTGCATAAGGAACGATGTAAAACATAAAGCAGGTCTTTCTCTGGGCTATAGAAAAGCATGGAGGGAGTGAAATAATGCTTAGTAACAATAAACCTGAAATCAGTTCTTACTTTTAAAAAACCCGGTGAATTATTGCCTTTGGAGGGTGCATATACGTGTATGGAGTGGGGGGGTAGCTGTAGAAATTGCTGCCCCAGCAACAGCAAAGGAGGAAATCCCCTGCCAGTAGATGCACCATTACATAAGAGCACAAGTTCAGTCACCACAGGATGGAGACCTGCCAGGAAACCAAACAAAGTGCTGAGGTCTCTTCTCTACCAGCCACATCTGCAACACCTCATTCTACCTTTCTTCCTCTTTCTGCTGCCTAAATTCTGGGCCTTGAGAAGGCAGGCCTCAGCAAATAAGCTGAACTGTGCCGTTTGACACTGGGTTTGGTCTCGGGGTTTAAATATTGGGGGGGAGGGGAGACAGCCCTACTCTGAGCACACAGGGACCTGTCCCCATCTAACTACAGGTGAGGATTTGTTTCATATGCCATTTCTACTATAGTATCCAAGTCACTCTGTGGACAGGAAGTCCTATCTATCAGTCCTCATACCAGTAGTGTCCTCTAATTTAACTCACTGGACAGCAGGTCCTTACGCAGCAAATGGTCACAACTTAAAATTAACAACATAAACCAAAATACACTGACTTAAAAGACTGTGAACTCCATGATGGCACGGCTGTGTTCTGTCTTACTCATTGCAGTATCCCTAATACCTAGCACAGTGCCTGGCATACATTCTGTATCACATTAATATTGGGGAAAACTGAATGAAACAATGAATAAACAAATTAATATTGTGCACATACCATAAGTGTGTACCTTGGAGAATTATGGATGCTCAAGATCTGAAAAAGAGCTTGAAGAAGTAGAGCCCTGAAAAACTTTTAGAAAGACTCCAGTTTCAATTTTACTAAATGGTAAGCAAATTAGAAGCTAACAGTATAATCTATCAGATAAAGTGTGGGCTCCACCATAGCTATTTTTGTGACCTTGGGCAAGTTATTTGTTTGGTTTCGGTTTCAACTGGAAAAAAAAAAAAAAAGGGAATCATAACAATATCTACCACAAAAGTCTGTTATTAAATGAGATCAATAAAGTAAAGTTCTTGGCACAAAGCTTGGTACACGGTCCTCGAGAACTGTTCCTATTATTGCTATTATTGTTGCTTTATTAAATACCTCCTTTACTGAAGGGGAAGTAGACCTACCCAAATTTTCATTTCTGGTTGAATATGCATCTAGCTAAAAATGCAAAGCCCAGAAAATTCAGAACTCAACGCCAAGAACATGTCTATACTAGCCTCCACTAGATGGTGACAATTTGGGTGTGGAATTCCCAAAACAGAAAAGGTGTGTGTGTGTGTATGTGTGTGTGTGTGTGCATCATTCATACATATATTTTAAACCAGAGGAATGAAAAGAGCAAGAAATGAATTAACCACTGCAAAGGCTGGAAAGACACACTTCTACCTCTGCAGATCTAGAAAGGGGGAGTAAATGCCTACAGTTAACTGAACTGGGTAGTTTTACTGCACCTCTGTGCAGAGCACACACAAGCCCAGTTAGCAAGAGCAACAAAGCCCAGCGAGCTCCCTGCCACCAACAATACATTCTGTGGGAACAGCAGTATTAGGCCTCTTGGCCAAGACATGAACTTCCCCCTAATGAGCCAAAGACTTGATTTTGACGACCTTTTCGTCTTGGGTCTTACGGTCCCACCCCCACCCCATGCTAATCTCATTACAGGTAACTTTCCACTTCAGCAACCCCACCGCCAAACTGTGAGGGAGGGTCACACCTACACTATTATTCGGAGTCCCTGAAAACCAGGAGTAAAAAAGAAAGTCTACATATATAAACAGGAAGTGGTTTCGGTGAGTCTCAGCCCGGATAACAAGTAAAGTTTTTGAGATTAAAGAGCAGATGAGGCGCGGGGGCTCCAGAAGGCTCCAATGCTCCCACACAGACTCCAAGATTTCCTCAGGAAATCCACCGTCGCCAAGCCACCCTGCCCCGCGCAGAACCCGCAGCTATGGTCGGCCGGAGGGGGAAATAACAGTAATAAGAAAGGGGGCCTCCGCCTACCTTCTCTCCGCGACCCACAAAGTCTGGTTTCCGCCCTGACTCCCGGCCAGGGAGCGCGACCCCCCATACGCCGGGCGAGGCCAAGCGGCGCGCCCGGGTCCCGGCCACAGACCGGCCGTCCGGACCTCTTCCCGGCCTCCGCACAGCCCACGCCG